AAAAAAAGCCGGGCTCAGTGGTTCAGCCTGCAATCCTGCGCTTTGGGAGGCTGAGGTGAGTGGATTGCCTGAGCCCGTGGGATCGAGACCCACCTGGGCAACTTAGCGAGACCGCATCTCTACAATAAATCAAAAAATTAGCCAGGCGTGGTAGCGTGCGCCTGTAGTTTCAGCTACTTGGAAGGCTGAGGCAGAAGGATTGCTGGAGCCCAGCAGGTTGAGGCTGCAGTGGCTGGGAGCCGCCACTGAACTCCAGCCTGGGCGACAGAGTGAGACTCCAACTCAGAAAAAAAAAAACAAAACAAAAACCAACACGTTCTCTTCAATCGTGGGCACCTGTTCCCTGAGTCTGCCAGCAGGCACAGCTGGCCCCCCAGACAGGAGAAGGTGTGCCCAGTCTGGTGGAAGCACTGATGAAGCACTGGCCTGGTCTGGGCCCAGGTGCATCAGTTGCAGCTGTCAACAGTGGCAGTGATGACATCAGCATCATCTTTCCTCATCCTCACAGAAACCAGCAGTCTCATCTGCCCCCTTGAGACCTGGGTGGGGGTGAGGGGCAGGAGGACTGCTATTCACATCTGCTCTATATCCTGTGTCCAGTGCTACAGTTTTGAAAAAGAGGCTGAGTGTAGTGGCTCCCATCTGTAATCTCAGCTGCCTGGGAGGCTGAGGAGGGTGGACTGCTTGAGCCCAGGGGTTCAAGATCAGCTTGGACAACATAGCGAGACCCTGTCTCCACAAAAATTAGCCAGGTATGGTGGGATGTGCCTGTTGTCCCAGCTACTCAGGAGGCTGAGGTAGAATAACTGTCTGAGCCCAGGCGTTCAAGGCTGCAGTAAGCCATAACTGTGCAACTGTACTTCAGCCTGGGCAACAGAGCAAGACCCTGACTCAAAAATTTAAAAATAAACCAGGTGTGGTGGCTCACAAATGCATCCCAACACTCTGGGAAGCAGAGGTGAGAGGATTACCTGAGCCCAGGGGTTTGAGATCGGCCTTGGCAACTTGGTAAGATCTTGTCTCTACAGTAAACCAAAAAATTAGCAGGGTGTGGTGGCGTGAACCTGTGGTTCCAGTTACTTGGAAGGCTGAGGCGGAAGGATCACCTGAGCTCAGCAGGTTGAGGCTGCAGTGGCCATGAGCATGCCACTGCACTCTAGCCTGGGTGACAGTGAGTCTCTAACTCAAAACATTAAATGAAATTAAAAAATAAACTCTGAGATTCATATCCTGGGGTTTGATCCTCTCAGATGTTTAAGCGCAAGAAGGCCTTGTATAACAGAGGAACAGAATCCCACCCTCAGCCAGGCACAGTGGCTCATGCCTGTAATCCCAGCACTTAGGGAGGCTGAAGCAAGAGGATTCTCTGAGCCCACAGGTTAGAGACCAACTTGGGTAACATGGAGAGACCTTGTCTCTACAATAAATAAAAAAAAATTAGCTGGGCGTGGTGATGTATGCTTGTGGTTCCAGCTACTTGGAAAGCTGAAGTGGAAGGATCGCCTGAGCCCAGCAGGTTGAGGCTGTGGTGACCATGAGCGTGCCACTGCACTCCAGCCTGGGCAACAGAGTGAGACTCCAACTCCAAAAAAAAGGGCTGGGCTCGGTGGCTCAGCCTGTAATCCCAGCACTTTGGCACTTTGGGAGGCTGAGGTGAGTGGATTGTCTGAGCCTGCAAGTTCGAGACCGGCCCAGGCAACTTGGCAGGACCTCATCTCTACAATAAATCAAAGATTAGCTGGGCGTGGGAGCACATGCCTACAGTTACGGCTGCTTGGAAGGTTGAGGCGCAAGGATCGCTGGAGCCCAGCAGGTTGACGCTGGGGTGGCAGTGAGTGTACCACTGCACTCCAGCTGGATGATGGAGCGAGACTCCAACTCAAAAAAAAAAAAAAAAAATTGCCGGGCTCGGTGGCTCAGCCTGTAATCCCACACCTTGGGAGGCTGAGGTGAGTGGATTGCCTGAGCCTGCGTGTTCAAGACCCACCTGGGCAACTTGGCGAGACCTCATCTCTATAATAAATCAAAAAATCAGCCGGGCGTGGTAGCGCGCGCCTGTAGTTCCAGCTACTCGGAAGGCTGAGGTGGAAGGATCGCTGGAGCCCAGCAGGTCGAGGCTGCGGTGGCCGGGAGCGGCCACTGCACTCCAGTCTGGGTGACAGAGTGAGACTCCAACTCAAAAAAAAAAAACCAAAAAAAACCATCCTACCCTCACCATGGCTAGTGGAGTGGCTGAGGCCCAGCTGGGGAGGTGGAGGTGGGAGTGGGCTGGGAAGGGTGAGCACTCACCTGATCCTGCGGAAGATGCTGTCTAGGTCACGCTTCATCTCCACTAGGGTCCGCGTGTGGTGCAGGAAGCGCTCACTCATCTGCTGCAGGCGTGCGCTGGACAGGCTGTTGAAATTCAGCAGCATCTCATTGGTCTTCTCAAAGCGGTCCAGCCTGGTGGCGAGAGAGGTGCTAGGTCTTCCACCCAAGCCCCAGGGTCTGCCCGATCTGGCCCTGGAGCTGACCATGCTGAGCGCTTGCCTACTTCACAGTCTGCACGTGGGCTGTTCCCTTGTTTGATTGTTGGAGCCTCCTGGCAAAATCCTACTCAACCTTCAAAACCTTACTCAGGTTTCCTTCTCATGTAGCCTTCTCTAACCTCTCCCTCAAGCAGCCTCTTTGCTCCCCTTTTGAGTCCACTAGCCCCAGGCTGTCCCTCTGGCCCAGGCCTGACATCACAAGGACAGGAGGGTCTGTGCCTGGCTTTGTCTCGCTTGGTCTGGGAGCTCCCCAGGGCCAGGTGTGAATCAAGGACACACAGAAGCCATGCATGCTCTCTGAGCCTGTGGCAACCTTTCTTCCCCACAGGGCAGTCCAGAGGTAGATGAGGCTTTGGAGGCCACAGTACCAAGCCCCAGCGAGGACAGGGGGCGTCCACAGACCCTCAGGAGACCAGGCCCCAACAGGAAGTCAGCCCACCAGCTCCTCAAACCCCCATAGCCTGCCTAGCCCTGCAATGCTCCTCACCCCCAGGCCCGGGGACTGGAGCCCTGTGCCCCGCCAAGTCTGAGGCAGTCCCTCTGGCCTGGAGGCAAGGCCTTGGCACAGGAAGCAGGGCCTTGGGGCAGCTGGAAGGTGTGCTCATTCCGTTATTCTATCACCAGCGTGGGCCCGGGGGGCAGGCAGGCGGGTGGCTGAGAATGCCAGCCGGCAAGCGGGTGTCCTCTCTGCCCAGGCGCCGCCACTCACATGTTCTTCTGGGCCAGGATGATGGCGTTGACGTCATCCACGTTCACCATGCTCAGGACGCGGCTGCAGAAGACCCTCGAGGCCGAGTCCGGGGGGTCCATCTCGTCCTCCTCCTCCGCTGCCTGGAACAGGCAGAAAGACAGTCTCCGGTCTGCACCACGTACTGGGGGCAGGTGGGAACGAGGCCGGGAACGCCCACGCCCAGCCCTAGTCCTCTGTGGGGGGAGGTGTGACTGTGGTTCATCCGTGTACTGTGGCCTCAGGTGTGCCATCCAGGGAAGCTGGAGGTGTTGGAAAACTACGGAAGTTTGTATCTATAAATTGCACCCAAGCACATGAGAATCCTGGCACCCTGGCTGGGCACGGTGGCTCAATTAGCTGGGCGTGGTGATGCACGCCTGTGGTCTTCTCAAAGCAGTCCAGCCTGGTGGCGAGAGAGGTGCTAGCTCTTCCACCCAAGCCCCAGGGTCTGCCCGATCTGGCCCTGGAGCTGACCATGCTGAGCCCTTGCCTACTTCACAGTCTGCACGTGGGCTGTTCCCTTGGGAGGACAAGACAGGAGGGTCGCTTAATCCCAGGAGTTTGAGACCAGCATGGACAACACAGTGAGACTCTGACTCAACAAAAAATAAAATAAAAAATTAGAGCAGGGCTCGGTGGCTCAGCCTGTAATCCCGTGCTTTGGGAAGCTGAGGTGAGTGGATTGCCTGAGCCCACAGGTTCGAGACCCACCTGGGCAGAGAGTCCTCATCGCTACAATAAATCAAAAAAATTAGCCAGACGTGGTGGTGCATGCCTGTGGTTCTAGCTGTTTGGAAGGCTGAGGCGGAAGGATCGCCTGAGCCCAGCAGGTGGAGGCTGTGGTGGCCGTGGGCATGCCACTGCACTCCAGCCTGGGTGACAGAGTGAGACTCTGACTCAAAAAAAAAAAAGCTAGTCAGGCATGGTGGTGGCACCTGTAGTCCCAGCTGCTTGAGAGGCTGAGGTAGGAGGATCACTGGAGCCCAAGTGTTTCAGGCTGTAGTGATCTATGATCACACCACTGCACTCCAGCCTGAGTGACAGAGCAAGACCCTGGGAGGGGAGGAATAAAAAGTCCCATCACCCCATCTCCACAAACCTAAGGCCACAGACACCTGTTACCTGCACAGATCTACCAGCCACCTCCCTCACCCTATAGCCTTTGTACCCACTGTCCCCACAAGCAGAAAACTTGTGGTTGCCTCGACAAATTGCCACCTACTCCGATGTCTCCTCTCCCCATTTGCCTTTGAGAATGACCCCTACTCCTGTCACTCTTATCACTTTATCTTGTGGTTCTCTCTTGCCCAGGCTGGAATACAGTGGTGCAATCACAGCTCACTGCAGCCTCAACCTCCTGAGCTCAGGTGATTCTCCTGCCTCAGCCTTCTGCAAAGCTGGGACTACTGGCATTTGCCACCACACCTGACTTACTTTTGTATTTTTGTAGAGACAAAGTTCTCACTCTGTTGCCCAGGCTGGGTCGCAAAATCCTCGGTCTGCCAAAGTGCTGGGATTACAGGACTGAGCTACTACGCCTGGCCTGGTTCACCTCTCTGTGAAATCACCCTAGTTATCAGTTGACCCATTTTCCTGCAGTCGCCAGAACAACCTCAGCTTCAAGAGAGCAGAGGCATGTCTATCTCCAGAGCCAGGATCACAGCAAGGAATTGCCAGAACTTTGTTCCAGAGAGGCCAGCAGAACTTTCCAAACTCATCCCTGACGCAAGACTTTTATGAGCAAATTAAAGCCAAGAATTTCAGGCGCTGGCAGCCAGCCTGTGGCTTCAGCAACCCCAATGGATCTGTGGGCCCCAGTTTCCCTGGCATGCAGATGACCATCCTGGTGGGCGGGGCCTCCCAGACAGTGCATGGTAGGAGTGGCCACAGTGCTGCCTCTCCTGCGGAGTTCAGGAAAAATCTAAACTTCTGATATAGCTTGGCTCTGGGGCCCACACATTTATTGGCTGACTTGCAGTTGGTTGAGATTCTAACACTGGGCCAGGGAAGGCTTCAGAACCCACATAATATACCCTCCCATTTATTGAGCACCTACTGTGAGCTACACAAAGTACCAAGCTCACACACTGAGGACTGTTATCATCCTTATTTATAGATGAGGCTCAGAGAGACTAAGGAACTTGGCCACAGCCACACAACCAGTGAACTTGAGTCCCAACAAATGCCACAGTCCACAGGTACCACAAAGGTGTGAATCTGAAAACAGGCGCTCGGTATCCACTGGTGACAGGATAGCTGATTGTTAAGGGAGCTGATTTCTGCTTGACTACTGATTTTTTCCCCCAGGAAAACAGTGGAAATAGAGATTTGGGGGGTTTTTCTGTGGAGACGGGATCTTGCTGTTGCCCAGGCCAGTCTTGAACTCCCAGCCTCAAGGGATCTTCCCACCTCAGCCTCCCAAAGTGCTGAGGTTACAGGCCTGAGCCATAATGCCCAGCAAGATTTTTTTTTTCTGGGAAATTGTCTCATTTATAAATGTTAGGAGTGTATACTTATTCCTATAACACCACAGAGGCCAAGAGTATCTCCTTGTGACCTAAATCTGCCCAGTAGTTTGCAGCTTCTGCGTGCCCTCTAGAAACCAGATGTCAAGCCTGGTAAAAACATGATCTTGTATACAGAGGACACTTGGGCCAGGCACCGTGCCTCATGCCTGTAATCCCAGCACTTTGGGAGGCTGAGGCAGGAGGACTGCTTGAGGCCAGGAGTTTGAGACCAGCCTCGGCAACATAGAGACCTGTTTCTACAAAAAATTAAGAAAGCGGGCTGGGCTCGGTGGCTCAGCCTGTAACCCCAGCACTTTGGGAGGCCGAGGTGAGTGGATTGCCTGAGCCCGCGGGTTTGAGACCCACCTGGGCAACTTGGCAAGACCTCATCTCCACAATAAATCAAAAAATTAGCTGGGTGTGGTAGCGCACGCCTGTAATTCCGGCTACTCGGAAGGCTGAGGCGGAAGGATGACCGGAGCCCAGCAGGTCGAGGCTGCGGTGGCCAGGAGTCTGAGACTCCAACTCAAAAAAAAAAAATTAAGAAAGTGGACACTTGGACTCAAAGGGCAGAGTCACATGGAGAAGGAGGCCCACCCTAGCTCCTGCCAGGGACAGTATTTGGACCTTTGGGGATATGGTTCTTCTTCAAAGTAGGGCTCTTGGCCGGGTGTGGTGTCTCAAGCCTGTAATCCTTTGGGAGGCCGAGGTGAGGGGATTGCCTGAGCCCATGGGTTTGAGAACAGCCTGGGCAACTTGGTGGGATCTCATCTCTACAATAAATAAATAAATTAATTAACTGCATGTGGTAACAGATGGCTGTAGTTTCAGCTACTTGGAAGGCTGAGGCAGAAGGATCGCCTGAGCCTAGCAGGTCGACACTCGGGTGGCCGTGAACGTACCCCTGTACTCCAGCCTGAGTGACAGAGTGAGACTCCAACTAAAAAAAAAAACAAAACAAAACTGGCTGGGCTCAGTGGCTCAGCCTATAATCCCAGAACTTTGGGAGACCAAGTTGAGTGGACTGCCTGAGCCCACGGGTTCGAGACCTCATCTCTACAATAAATAAAAAATTAGCCAGGTGTGGTAGTGGGCACCTGTAGTTCTGGGTATTTGGAAGGCTGAGGCGGAAGGATCGCCAGAGCCCAGCAGGTAGAGGCTGCGGTGGCCGGGAGCGGCCACTGCACTCTAGTCTGGGAGACAGAGTGAGATTCCAATTCAAACAAAACAAAACAAAAAACTCCCCCTCAACCAAACCAAACCAAACCAAACCAAAACAACAACAACAACAAAACAGGGCTCTTTCCTGACTCTGGCTCCCAGATGTGAAGCCTGAGTATTCACAGCACCCCTCAGCTGTCTCTTTCAAGAAGCCTTTCCTTACTATTGCTAGTCTGGTTCACATAAGAGTAAAACTGAGCCAGGCGTGGTGCCTCACGCCTGTCATTCCACCACTCTGGGAGGCGGAGGCAAGAGGGTTCCAGACCAGCCTGGGCAACTTGGTGAGACCTCATCTCTACAATAAATTTTAAAAAAATGAGCTGGGTGTGGTGACACACACCTGTAGTTCCAACTACTTGAAAAGCTGAGGTGGAAGGATCGCCTGAACCCAGCAGGTCGAGGCTGCAGTGGCTGTGAGTGTGCCACTGCACTCCAGCCTGGGTGACAGAGTGAAACCTCAACTCAAAAAAAAAGCGAAATTGGCCCAGGAAGGGCTCTGATTCCTGCTTCCAGAAAATACATTTATGGGAGAAACACACAGGGAGGGAGGCTGTGTGACCTAGGGCGGGTTGCTTCACCTCTCTGAATTACTTTTCTCATCCATAAAATGGGAAGAACAAAGAATCAAAATCTCACAGAGCCGGCTGAGGGGACTGAAACCCAACAGATATAAAGGGGGTGGCTTGGAGCTGCTTCTCCAAGGGGAGTATGAAGTCCGGGGACAGGGCCCAACCAGCATTCTGAGGGCCTCTCAGGTGCTTCTAAGAATATAAGCAAACATTGGTAGAGCATGTCATTTAATCTTTAATTCCCCATGAAACAGATGCTACCATCTCCAGGGGACACTGAGGCTCATAGGGGCAGGCTCAGTGGCCCAAGGTCATACGCGAGGCAGAGAACTGCCACGGTTCCACCCGGGTCCGTGAACAAAATTTAACTCGGACGCCCAAGCCCAGGAAAAAACCCGGAGTGAGGAGGGGCTTAAGTATCCTCTCAAAACCCCGCCCCTACAACGCGGGGAAACTGAGGCACAAATAGGCCAACGGCCGGCTCCGGGTTCCACGGCACAACCTGATCACAGGCGGCTCCAATTCCCACGCCCCGGGTCGGGATCCGGCCCACGGCGCCGCCCGTGAATCCATTGCGCAGACGGGGAAACTGAGGCCTGCGCGCAGCAGGAGGGCCCCCAGATGTGGCCAGCGGCGCGCCCCACCCCACGGCAGCCCGGGGGCCGCGCCCGTCCCGGACCGGGTACCCCGCGGCCCC